TTTTTCGATCAGTTTAACCTCTACTGTAACACACATGTATTCGACTTATGTTAAAGTACATGTAACCTAATAGGTGTATCGCAGGACTAAATTATCATTGTGCCCCCCATGTCCTTTTTTAACAGAGGGTCTATTGAGGTTTGTTCCTTTTATTTTTAAACAAATTACTCTGTGTCTTGGCACGTGGTGACCTAGGAATAGTTCCAAGCGAACCCATCGACTGTCACATTTATTTGTTTGGGGGGCTGAAATTGTTTCGTCTTTAAATAACTCTCGTACTAATGCAGACACGAGGGTGTGGGGGCATTTTACCATCATACGACCATAGCCAGTGATCGAAAAAAGAACGTATTCCAAATACTTAATGAACTAGTTTGGAAAGAAGTTACTAACAATTAAGATTTTAAAAATAAATTTCAAATCGTAAAATATTATACATATCTACACATCTACTATTTATATTATCTGAGTAGCACCTAATGTAGAAATAAAATTCAATAATATTAACATTTTTTATCCTAATTTAATACTTTTTATATTTGTTATTATTTATTTGGATTATATATATTGAATTTTTATACAGTATTATATATATATATATATATTAAACATATTTTGTATAGTAAAATATTATAAAATACCATACTCGTGATATATACATATATATAACTAAATTTCTACAATTACTTATTTGTATTATACTTTTCGTTAAATTAAAATTTAAACTTAAGTTATCCAACTTTACAGTTGAATAAATTTCGATGACAACAACTACTATAGAATAATTAATAATTAAAAATAAATAACGTAATTACTATAATTAACTACTGTAACGATAGGTTTATTAAATTATTAAATTATTTTTCATATTTTTAGTATGAAATATTTTATAAAATAAAATTATTAAATGATAATGGTAATAATAAAATATATTACTTAGTAAAATTAATTACTACAAATATATTTATACATTTTTAAATGCAATTAAGCGTAATAAGTATATGCCATGTTATTTGTCTTTGATGTTTAAATTAATATGATGTGATTGAAGTATTAAACAACTAAATGCAATAAGTCATAAGCTAATAGTTAATAATAAAAAGCATCATAAATGATAATAACAACAATATTTATATTTTATAGTAAACAGCCGAGCTACATACACGCGACTACTATAGTGTACTCTGTAAATATAACGGAAATAGTGTACGAGAGAGAGAAATAGTGTGTGAGAGTGTGATGGAGTGTATGTTTGAGATGAATTTAGAGAGAGGGAGTGAATTCATTGAAAGAAAAATGATCGAAACACTCTCGTGAATGTGATTACAACCGGAGTCGTTGAAGAGTGCTTGAGTGAAAGTGGTACAAACATTTATTGTCTTCCAGGACTCATCAACCTTCGGTTTTAAATTTCGACAAGTTATAAATACATTTTCTTTTTACTTTTCAAAATGCCGACCACCCAAGGCCATTGGCTATACATGGTACATAATATTATATTAATATTATATTTATAATACATAATAATATAATATGTACTTGTGTTCTATATGACTATTCATAATACAAAACGCCTACTCGTGTCACTGGGGAATTCGGTCAGTGATGTTGAAACACGTTTAATCAAATGGATATGTATCCCACGTCTCACGAAAAACTTGCTAAGCTCATATCATAACAACATAAGATTTGATTTTCGGACAAAATATACAACTCCAATGGTGTTTCTGTTCAAACACTTCAAATCATCATAGGCTATCATAATATTAATATTATATACATGGTAGATTTTTTTCAAAATTATTTGATTTAATATCAAAAATTAAACTCTAATTTTATTTTTTTGTTGTTGAATTAGTTATTATGCTATTACAATAACTTCGAATACATTCCTAACCTCCGCGGATCATAGACAGCATTCGTATACATAGTATAAACGAATACCGTTTATCGTAACATCGTAATAAGTATAAAACTGTAGATAGTATTAGAAATATTCTAGGTATGAGTATGCTTTTAGTTTTTAAAATGTAATCTATGAATAGTTTTAACGACCACGAAATAGATGAGTAGATAAAATTTCAGTTTTTTTTTCTTCTTTCAACCCTAGCTGATGAATTTATACCTAACCCATTTATAATATTGTTAATTGTTGGTAACAGTTATGCCAAAATGTACAATAATATTATGGAATAACGGATTTAAATATTTATTGTATAATGTTATATTGTTATACTTGAATCAAATAATTTTTTAATAGTATCTATCCTACTATTGTTATCATAGCTAAATCATACAGGTTATTGAAGTTTGATAAAATCCTTACATGAATACATAACTAAAATCAAGAAGGAAGCGGTATCCATGGATAATGGAGATATTAGTTTGGTATTTATGTTATCACATCATAATATATGATATTAAATTAATCAGTAACAATCACCAATACAAAATATTTTAAGTAATAAATAATGATAGTGGTAATATTATATTGATCAATCAGTATAGCTCCGTTGACGCTGATATATTAAAACATCAAATAGCAAATAGACGATTAAACATAATAACCTGTAGAATGTAGACATGATTTTTTTATCAAGGTTGACTTGAATTTTACAAACCTATATTTTATACCAGCTTTTTATTATTAAAACACATTATACAATAAATTAAGCTGTGTGATAATGTACAACAACAGTAATAAAATCAATTATTATAATAATTCATATTCTTTATAATATTATATTTTTAGTAAAAAACATTAAATATACTTACAATATATAGTACCTAAATCATACAGAAAATTACGATTACCCGGTTATTTTAACAAGGTCTAAAAATACAATAAATTCTAAACAACGGCCGTAAAGCTGGTGTATGATACTGTCCATCCTAAAAAAAGCTTGTGGATAGGCATTACAGTTAACTGATATGCGTTTTATTTTGCAACCTCACGTGTATCCTGAAAAACGTTAAAATGTTCAATAATCGAATATTATACTGTTTGTTTTTTAATATTTTAATTAACTCGACCGCAGTTAAAATAAAAACTAAAACCCATTATGGTACCGCAAAGTTGATTATGTATTATTATGTTTCCAATATTATATTTATGTGACGAAAATTGCGTGTGATAGGTTAATTAGTTACACTAAATAATATCATCCGGTCATTTAATTATTCATATTAAATTTATTTTAGTAGCTTTTTCAAATTATTGTGTACACCCTAGTCCTCCAATAGCAACACTATAGAAGTACGAGTGTATCGGTGTCATCGAATTCTAAGAATTCGACTATTTGAATAGGGTATTAGATATTAGTAAAAGTAGTAATTTAAAATTAGTAATTACAGTCATATAAAATTTTGTATATTATATTTTTTATAGTGATGTACAGTTAGCACTATTTTAATGTCAAAATAACATTAGTGTATTAAAATTGCAGGCCGATAATAGGTTTTTAAAAAGTCCCATCATAAATATTATAATATTATTACAAGACTTATGAATGAAAATCTCCGCCGGGGGCTGTTATTTACCTAAATTATCCTTTTTATATCGATATTACACATAAGAAGGTGTCTATATTCAAAAGTTGTTTTGTTTCGGAACGTGATCGTCTCTTATTATCAGTATAAAACTGTATTTCAAATTCCAATGGTTCGCTTTTTATTACGACGTGTCAACACTTTCGTTGTTTGGTCATAATAATATATTATGTGTTCATGATGATGCTGCAAATCGTCTTGATAGATAATAATAAGTTATAAACATATGGTAATAATATACCTAACTGTACAATATCACGTCCACGGAAGACGTTAGGCAAAAATCGAAAGGAAATATTAATCGTTGTGGCAACACAACACGTCCAAAAGGAAATGCGAATTGGTCCTCGTCGTCACCTATAGCATTGGCCTTAACGCCCATCCTAAAGTACACACATTTTAATCATAATATTACCTAGTCTTCGAGATTTCTCGGACACTGATAATGTTGTACCGGAAAATAATAATATGACGTGGAAGGGAAAACAATGACGAAGTGACACGAGAACCTTAATAAGGCATGTATGGGGGAAGGGGGTCGATTAAATCACCTCTGAGGAGTTTGTGGAGGAGGTGGAGGCGGTGGTAGTGTTATCGGAGTGGGTGGCGTTGGAGGTGTCGGTGGAGGATGTAAACCGATTGCCAAGTTCACGAGCGCGCCCGCACGAGTGTGTGTGTGTGTGTGGACTGTGGAGTATATTATTTTTATTATTATGATCGTGCTTTATCGTGCCGTATTAATTCTAGGGGAGGGGATCGGACGGCCGTGTGGGTAAACGCTCGCGAGCGCCGAGGTAAGCGGTCGCGGTGGCGTTGGTGACGAGGGGAAAAAGTGTGTGTCGGCGCGCAGAGCGCAAGCGCGCAACGGCGGCGGCCGGAGCCGCACCGTTCCCCTCGCGCCACCGCACGACCCGCTCAGCCATCGGTCAGGGTTCAGAAGCCTTTTCAAGGACAAGGCCACGGGCGGCGGCGGCGGCCGGTGCGCGGAGCACACAGCCGGCCCGATGAGCGGCGGCGGCGGCAGTGGCCGTGGCAGGCGGGTCGTGGTCTAGCGCGGGTCGGGGTCTAGTACGGCGCGGGCGCGCGCGCGCCATCCACACACACACACACTCACGCGCGCACGCATACACACGCACACACACGCACTCAAACACACGCACACGCGCACACACGCGCACGCCGGCACGTTTCTACACGGAACACACACGCACACTTAGAATGGCAACTGTCGGCGGGGCCTACTAACCAACACGGGGCGGCCTCAGTACACACACACACACGCGCGCGCGGCTCGCACGCACGCACACGTTGACGCGCGCACGCACACGGCGGCACACACACACACACACGCACGCCGCGTAACGAGAACGCGCCGCCGCCGCGCACACCGGGGAGACACCACCGCCGCAACATGCGCTCACTTTCATTCCCGGTCCGCCAGCGGTAGCAGCACGCCGCGTGCGTTCCGACGACAAATCTACTAACGACGACTGTACGAGAGTACACACGGTGCAGTGTGCGCGCGCGAAGTGTGTTGTTTTCGTTTTTCGTTTTCGATTTTCGATTATTATTATTATTATTTTTTTTTTTTTTTTTTTTAAATTCAATTCGTATCGCCGTTTTTCGGGACTTTCGCCCATCATCATCGTCCGTCCGTTTGTTCTCCTCTGTCGCCCATCGCAGCGAGTACGTACACGTATGCCGTCGTCCGCCGAACACCGTCCACTAGTGCGTCGTGCAGTGCGATTCGCGATGATACAATCATACGATTATCGTGGTAATAATCTTTCCGCACTCTGATAATAATAATATAATATATCATATCTATCATATCGCCGTGCGAGTTTGGGTTTTTCGATTTGCGTTCTGTTTTTGTTCGTCCGAATTTTTCGCGGTCTCGTTTTTTTTTTTCACGCTTTTCTTGGCCCTCCCCCGTTGTGGGTACCGCCGAAATGCAGTTGTCTCAAGTGGTCACCAGCTCGGGCGTACTGATGCACGTGTACAGTGCCGAAAGACACCAACAACAGCAGCAGCAACAACAGCAACAACAACAGCAGCAACAACAACAGCAACAGCAACCGTCGCAACAACAGCCGTCGCAACAGCAGCAACACGGTGGTGACTTTCGCGTACCGCAATCGCCGGGCGTCGTGTCGTCTTCGACGGGTAGCGGCGGAGTACCGTCTCCGCCCGCGCAGCATCATCACCTCCAGCTGCAACTGCAACAGCAGCATCAACAGCAGCAACAGCAACAACAACAGCAGCAGCAGCAACAGCAGCAACGGTGTTCTCTGCCACCGGCCCCGCCGTCGTCTTCAGCGGCCGCGATGCGACCACCCGCCGCCCCGGGCCCCCGGTGCAAGCCGGTCCCGTCAGCAGCCACCCTGACGATCAAGACGGAATATAGCCGAAGCCCTCCGATGCTCTCCGAGGAACCGACCAGCTCCATACCGGACTTAGGTAAATACCTTTGTTTATATTATTTCCACGCTTGTTATTATCTGTATTAAAATTTGGTACTGTGATCTTACACAGTACGCGAGTATTGGTCTTCATCCGAATAGAATGCACATGACGCGTAAAATGCATTTCGGTGCAATACCTGCTCCCCCCCCCCCCCCCCGTGAATAGACGCGTGCGGTTCGAAATTGTGTTTCGTGTTATGGTTATACCGCGGTCGTCGTCCTGTCGTGGATAGGTATTTAGAGTGAAAGTGGCGCCGAGCCGGTGAAAGATCTGAAAGGGAAACGACGGTTTTCGGTGGACAGGTGAAGGTTTTGCTTTCGTTTTCACGCGCGCCGAAAATACTACCAAGGTATCGTCAAACCGTGTTATTATGATCGTACCTTCTCTGGGCCGGACGCGCGTTCTTTTTTCTCAACCGAGTATTTTCCTCGATTTCAGTCATATAATTTAATAACTATTATGATTATTTATGAATTTTTCTTCTCAAACGCGTTTTAATCGTTTGTTGAAACGCATAAATACGTCATAAATCAAAAACGTTTTGGTAAAAAAATGTTTTTATTCTGGTCCGCCGTACAATAATTGTTACATTATTGCTCATTATAGTCATTAGTCATTACCAACGTTGTTTCAAGTGCGATTACGTATATTTCGTCAGGGCCATACGTTAATTTAAACTTGAACTTCGACAACTAATGTTCATGTAGTTTACATTTTTTTTTCTCTATATTTTATCGGTAAATAGCGTCATCGAGGTCACGCGCGATTGCGGATTGGCACTATATACCTATATCGATATTTTTATGATTACTGATATATTATTTATTTATTATAGCCCAGATAAATACACGTACCTATTTAATAGTACTGTAATGCCACTCGTATGTCCGTTTTACTGAAAGAATATGTACGAAATTTCCAAAAATCTATATAGAATTCATATTTATTTTGTAATAACGGCAGAATCCACGTGTGTAACAGATAAAATTATGTTATGTTTTTGTAATTAAAATAACAACGACAACGTGTGTTTTGAAATCTACTGATGAAAAGTGTCGCGATCGCGTCTAGACCGGCAAAAATTGCACACACGTTTGCCGCGACCTTAACCGTGGTTTGTGGGGGGAACCACCGCACAACGTGCGGCGGTGGCGGCGGCGGCGTCATTATTCGCAACGTCGTGAGAATATTGCCACTCCTCGGCTTACTGTGATTATTATTAACTTTCTGTTTGTTTTTGTTATGACGGTAATTTTTTTCTCTATTACGCTGTCTCTTATTTTTTTTGTTTTGGAAATCGCATTTTTTAATATTGTTTAAATATACATCAATATTCACTTCTCATGAATTTGATTATTTCATTTTATTGCTAATAACATCTTTGACCTTACTACGTATGTAATTATATGATTGAGTATTAATATTAATCTTGGACTGGAAGACCCCTAAAATATTTAATTGACGTTTACGCTGCAACTAAAACATTATATATATGGTCCAGCAGCGGTAACTGCAGTCCGCAGGTTATTATACATTCATTTAGTATTGAGAAACATCCAAATTTAATGATATTTCCTATCCATTAAAACGAATTATGAGTTATCTAATGTTTAGTATATAGTTATCAATATTTTTTCTTATTAAATAAAGCTTTACAAATTTACTCCATAAATAATAGTATAATAGTGATGGCAAAGTGTGTAGAAACAATAATTCATTATAATATACTATCTACAAATTGTGAATTGTAAAGTTATAAATTAATTTAATTTATAACATAGGACGCATCACGTATGGGTAGTTCGAATTTCTGTACCATGAGAATTATTTGTCGAGAAAGTAATGAGTGACCTCGTACTATGAGAAAAAAAATTAAAATACATTTTCAAAAAATAAAAATGAAAGGATCCTAAATTCTTAAAGAGCCGCGTGCGCCCACATAATATGTCAATACCACTTTCACTTCAGAAGCTTCTTCGATATTAGTTTTGTATATTATAATAATAATATGTATAATTGCGCGTTTGGCCTGGAGCCGTTTTTCTCATGAATGAGAAGCCATATCAATTTCGTTAAAATAGATTTATTGATATTGTTTGCTGCAGTCATTGAAAATAGCCAATATTAATTTTAGCCTAATGTATGTTTATTACAGCACATCGAAGTGTGTCATCTATTATATAATTATTATTAAAGCTCCTATTTCAACAAATTTTAGTATAATACATAATCTTCGAATTTATAACATCATAGTCATGCATGTTTACAATAATAACATAACTTGTCTGATTAATATTTAATCAGTTTAAATTTTAAAATATATTGTTGCTATCAGAAAATATGTAACATGTGCACCTATCCATAATCTTTAGTCTTACAGTTCATACTATTGATATATCATTTAATGTAACGTATACTCGGTGTACTACATTACACAGTTAGCTACGTTGTTTCTCGGAGATAATAATATGATTTAATTTGTTCGACCTTAATATTGACACGAGATAAAACGTACGCGCACTATCTATATCAATACAATATGTGTGATGGAATTTCGGCGGCGTGGTATCGTGCCATTTGCGGAACAAGAAAAGACGATGATTGATTTTATTTTTATTTTTCCCAGGCGCATAAATAAATATAGAAATATACTGGAAATCGTTTTTAATTATTTTAGTCAGACTCGAACAGGTCAATAATTCGTACATCACAACATTGCATATTATACTACATAGATATAAATATAATAGTAAGACCCTGACGAATCGCAATCGGTCTCAGCGTAGTTTCCGGCGGCAAAACGAGTGGGTCGTTACCACAAAGTGAAAAAAAAAAAAATTAAATAAATAAAAACACAAACGATACGTTCGTTCTGGATACACTTAACCCGGCGCAACAGGAATGTTTTTTGCGTCGTACTAAATACATAAAAACGTTGCGTTTATCGAGCAATGCTACGTCAGGTACGTCATTCGCGTGGATCGGAGTCGGTTAGGTTGTATAATGTAGATATTAAATTATATGCGTGTGTGTGTGTGTGTGTGTGTGTGTGTAATAGGCAAGGGTAAAAATATTATTACAGTAGGTACAAGCACGTGGAGAGGGAAGTCCAATGATCTACGAAGGACAGTGAACCATCCGCCGCCGGCTGCAGCAGTGCAGGCGGCGACGGCTGCGGTATAATAATAATATAATATAAGGTCAATGTTTGCGCGTTGCGTGCGCCGCCGAACTTGGCCACGACGGTAGTCACACGGTACACATATTAATGCGGGCGGCCGGGTGGTTACGTCACCCGCCCCCGCAGTCCAAATGGCGAGGGATGTTTTTCCTCTCTTTCATTCTCTATAATATAATATTTCGTTCAGGTGTGCCGACGCTGCTACTGCAGACACACAATGGTGTATATTATGTTATAGTGAATAATATAATATTATGTATAATAATAATAATATGTTACATTATATAATATTCGCTCGTTGCGTTGTACACTCGATGTTCCATCTGCTAGTAGAGAGGGGGACGCGCGCAAAAAACATCAGGTGCGAAACGACATAGTATTCGTTCTTGTATGCATATATATATATATATACACATATACACATAGCATTTATTATATACGTAAGTATGTACACCCGCAACCCTTTCGACCTCCAAAAATGGGGTTGCGTTCGTGTGCGTGTGTGTATATATGTGTGTGTTCGCGCGCGCGCGTTTATAAACACCCCGCGATTGCGTTTTTGTCTGAAGGGCGTCTCCGCGAGGTTTCACTTTTTTCCCTCTGTCTCTCATTCGGGAAGCGACTCTTCTTCACATTATTTTGTACGCACGCGGTCGTTGCGTCACAGCCGGTACCTACTTACATCACTGTGACGACGGACGTATCATTGCGTATGTGTATAATAATAACAATAATAATAAAATGTTTAAGTATAATGGTAGGCATATAGAAAACGAAAACACTTTCCGCAGTCATAAAACCATGGGGGTCGACATTGAAATTTTTCGAGAGAAAAAAATGGTCAGTGACCTTCGTTAAGGGTCCAAGAAATTGAAACGTCTGGGGAGACTTCGGTTCCAAGGCTGTTACACATATAAATATAATATATGGCTTTGTTTTTTTTTTTATTAACCTCTTTCCCGGGCGAGCACCTAAACAGGTAAGTATCGTATAGTTTCACGGTCATCTCACGCCGGTATTGTTGCCCCGACAGAAGGTCGACCTCTCCGACGATGACGGCGATGATGACGACGTCTGCAGCGTCGGCTACGGAAGGTGAACGCAATATTAGTAGTACGATTTTTTTTTTTTTTTATTTGAAAGACTAGAACGAATACAATCAACAATAATAATTATATTATATTATATTATATTATTCTCTATACCTGAAAAATGAAGGTCGCGTAGAACACATGTTATATGGTATTTTTCTTTTGCATCGCAGACGATAATGGCGAGAAAGGGTAAAAATCCGCGATAGGGTTGTAGACGGTGACGGTGGTGTCGGGAACGTCCCAATTGTTATTTATTTCTCCATCCGGCAGCTGTTGTGCAATACGTCGGCAACAACAATAATACTCACGAACACACACACACACACACTAGCGCACTCCTACATTATATTTTCTTTTATCTACAACAGCGTGGTCTATATTATATCTTTATACTCAACAAAATATTTCGCACATGTCTCCAAAAACAAGCCTTGTGCATGTTTAACGTCGTGTATCCGCCTGAATTATTTGCATTTTGCCTCCTGCAACCTACATATTATACCACACGTACGTATTGTATATTTGTGTGCGTTTGTGTGTGTATAGCATTCCTAGAGCGTAAAGAGCTTGGATTTTAGGCGTTTTGCCGAAGATGAAAATAAATCGATAATCCGCACCGGCCGTCGTAGTATACGCAATATTTATATAATATATTGATATATAACCGCGTGTAGCCGTGTAGGTTTTTATTATTTGTTATTCGGTCGATAGAACGGCGA